TCCTCCTCCGCCTCCTCCTCCTCCTCCTCCTACTCATCCTCCTCCTCGTCATCCGCCTCCTCGTCCTCCTCATCATCATCATGCTGTTCATCCCCCTCCTATTCCTCCAGCTCCTCATCCTCCTCCTCCTCCCCCTCCTCCAAATACAAATCCTTCTTCTCATCATCCTCCTCCGCATCCTCCTCCTCATCATCCTCCGCCTCATCTTCCTCCTCCACCTCCTCCTCATGTTCTTCCTCCTCCTCCTCATCTTCTTCATCCTCATCCTCCTCCTCCTGCTCGTGTTCCTCCTCCTCATCATCATCCTCCTTCTCCTCCTCCTCCTCGCCCTCCTCCTCCTCCTCCTCCTCCTCCTCCAGCTCCAGCTCCTCCTCCTTCTCCTCCTCCTCCTCCTCCTCCTCGGCGTCCCCCTCCTCCTCCAGCTCCTCATCCTCATCATCATCATCCTCCTCATCCTCCTCCTCCTCCTCCGCCTCCCCTACCCCCTCCTCCTCATCCTCCTCCTCCAGCTCATCGTCCTCCTGCTCATCATCCTCTTCATCCTCCTCCTTTTCCGTGTCTTCCTCTTCCTCCTCCTCCTCCTCCTACTCCTCCTCCTCGCCCTCCTCCCCCTCGTCGTCCTCATCGTCCTCCTCCTCGTCCTCCTCTTCGTCCTCCTCCTCGTCTTCCTCATTGTCCTCCTCCTCCTACTCTTCATCCTCATCCTCCTCCTACTCCTACTCCTCGTCCTCTTCATCCTCCTCCTCCTCTTCCTCCTCCTCCTCGTCCTCCTCCTCCTCTCCCTTCCACCTTATCCTTCCTCCTCCGCTTCCTCCTCCTCCTCCTCCTCAGTCTTCCTCTTCCAGTTCCTCCTCCCGTTCCAACTCCTCCTCCTGCTCATCCTCGTCCTCCTCCTGATCCTCATCCTCCTCGTTCTCCTCCTCCTCCTCCGCCTCTTCCTCCTCCTGATCCGCATCCTCATCATCATCCTCCTCCTCGTCCTCATCCTCATCCTCACCAGCATATTCATCATCCTTATCGTGTCTCTCCTCCACCTGACTTCCCCGTCCCCGTCCCGTCCCACTTCGCCTGATCGTTCGTTCACTAAAGAAGCCTTCCAACCCGGGCCCGAGCCGATTAGGTTGGAGGCCCAAACTCCAGCGACTATACATCTAGATCGGCGATGCATCGGGGATGCAGCGTCGGCGTCGGCGATGCGAAGCGATCCTTCGATCCCACCCACTCAGGCCCCACTCGGAAGCCCTAGAATCACCGTCTGTCGTCCTTCCCGTTCTGCGTCCCCCTTCCCCTATCTGTCCTCTTCACCTCTCCCCCTCCTCCTCCTCCTCCTCCTCCTCCTCCTCCTCATCATCATCATCATCATCAGCATCATCATCATCATCAGCATCATCAGCATCATCAGCGTCAGCATCATCATCATCATCATCATCATCATCATCAGCATCATCATCATCATCATCATCATCATCATCATCATCATCATCATCATCATCATCATCGTCATCATCGTCATCATCATCATCAGCATCATCATCAGTATCAGCATCAACATCGGCATCAGTATTAACATCATCGTCAGCTCATCATCATCAGCAGCATCATCATCAGCATCAGCATCAGCATCAGCATCAGCATCAGCATCAGCATCATCATCATCATCATCATCATCATCATCATCATCATCATCATCATCATTCAGCATCAGCATCAGCATCATTCATCATCTAGTCATTCGTCCTCGTCATCGTCATCGTCCCATCATCCTGTCCTCGTCCCTCCTCCTCCTCTCCTCATCCCCCCCTCCTCCGCCTCGGCCTCCTCCTCATCAGAAAAATCATCATCATCATCAGCCGCAGCATCATAATCAAGCCAGCATCAGCATCATCATCATCATCTCATCATCAGCAGATCATCAGCATCATCGCATCAGCATCATCAGCATCAGCATCAGCATCATCAGCATCATCAGAATCACATCATCAGCATCATCATCATCAGCAGATCATCATCATCATCAGCAGCATCCAGAATCAGCATCAGCATCAGCATCAGCATCAGCAATTCATAATCGTCATCATCACATCATAATCATCACATCATCAGCAGCAGCATAGCAGCTAGCAGCAGCATCCTGTTCCCCCTCTCCTCCGCCTCTTTTCCTCCCCTGTCTCCTCCTCATCTCCTCCTCCTAGTCCTCCTCCTCCCGCTCCCCTCTTCCTCCTCCTGCCTCCTCCTCTGCCTCGTTATTCCTGCTCCTCCTTCCACATCAATCCATCTTTCCCTCAGCTTCCCAGCTCCTCCTCCGCCTCCTCCTCCTCCTTCTCCTCCTCGCCTCTCCTCATCCTCCTCACCTCCTCATTCCCCCTCTCCTCCTCCCCTCCTCCTCCTCCTCCATCCTCCTCACCCTCTTCCTCCTCATCCGCCTCCTCCTCCTCTTCCTCGTATTCCTGCTCTCTTCCTCATCATCCTTCTCTTCCTCATCATCCTCCTCCCCCTCCTCCTCTTCCTCATCCTCCTCCTCCTCTTCCTCCTCCTCCTCCTCCCGATCCCGAGGAAGGGATCCATATTCCCAGTCTGAAATCACCCAGCCAGTCCGAAAGCACGACTCGGAGAACAGGGCGCAAATGGATGCAACACCCTGCGCGGCCCCACGCCGTGTGAACGCAGCAGACAGCAGCGTACGCCCTCACTTCGCTGCACACCACAGGCAAGCATCCTGCGCGATTGTACACCAAAAAGCGCCTGCCCCCTAAACGGAACAAGAGCGAACAACAAAAGGCGCATCGCGCACCTCGCAATCCATGAGCATGGCGAGAAAGTTCAGCTCCCGATCAAAGCGGAACAGCTTTTCACTGGAAGCAGTCACACACTACGCGACCGCACAACGTCTGACATGCTCGCTTACCCTGCGGGTTACTGTTTGTTGATGCACATGTTTAGCCTCCGAGAGCAGTCTGCATAGAATCGGGAAATCGGATCGGATCGGATGTGCATCGAATCGGGCCGCATCGGCACGGAGTCGGAATCGAATCGAATCGATTTGAAGTCGGCAGCGCCAGGATGCGCAATAGCGCCATCGGGACGCGCCGGATCGTCGGAATATTGGGGTCGAACCGAATCGGGCCGGCCGAAATCGACATCGAATCGGATCGATCGGATCGATACGAGCTCTTGTCTCCCAAGGGCCCCCATGAAGACTCTTTGGAGGCCTCGGAGTGTCACCTCTGGAGGGTTGCAGGCAGCCCTGGGCCTGCCAAGGGGAGATATAGAGACAGGGAAAGAGAGAAAGATAGAGAGAGAGAGAGAGAGAGAGACAACGCCAAGCCCAACACATCACCCTCTTCCTCACCTCTCGTGTCCTCAGTATCCCCCTTCTCCCCCCTTTCCTCTTCCTCCTCCTCCTCCTCCAACTCCTCCACCTCCTCTTCCTCCTCCTTCTCCTCCCCGAAGCTCGGCAACGACAACCAAACACGTGGCTTACGATGGCCGTGATTGCTTAGGAAAGCGTGCCGGGAGCCTTCTCTTTTTCCAGTGATGCGCGCAACCAGGAAGTCCTCCAGGCGTTCCTTGGTCGCCGCGTCGAGTTCGCCGACGGCTCTGGCCTCCACTGCTAGAACTGCAGAGGAAGGGGGGAAGGAAGAGGGGAAGGAGGAGGAGGAGGAAGAGGAGGAAGAGGAGGAGGAGGATGAGGAGGAGGAGGAGGAGGAGGAGGAGGAGGAGGAGGGTAGGAGGAGGAGGAGGAGGAGGAGGAGGAGGAGGAGGAGGGGGAGGAGGAGGAGGAGGAGGAGGAGGAGGAGGAGGAGGAGGAGGAGGAGGCTCCTTGGCCGCTAGGAGCCCTCGTCGCGCCCCTCCGCCGTGCGAGAGCTCCGCTGGAGCCATCTCGGAAGGCATCCTGGAGGCCTCCGGGAGGGGATCTGGAGGCTCAGAGGGCTCGGGAAGTGCGAGGAGGAGGAGGCGGGGGAAGGAGGAGGAGGAGGAGGAAGGAGGAGGGGGGGGGGGGGAGGGGGGAGGAGGAGGAGGAGGAGGAGGAGGAGGAGGAGGAGGAGGAGGAGGAGGAGGAAAAGGAGGAGGAGGAGGAGGAAAAGGAGGAGGAGGAGGAGGAGGAGGAGGAGGGGGAGGGAAGAGGAGGAGGAGGAGGAGGAGGAGGAGGAGGAGGCCGATGACGACGACGACAAGGGAGGAAGAGGAGCACGAGCAGGCCGACGGGCCCGGCCGACGACGTGAGCACTGGCCACCACGTGGGCCGAGATCGCCGCCCAATGGCCAAGCAGGCGTTGCGCCAGTCAGGACAGACCACGACGGCGGCGAGAACGACGACGACGACGACGACGACCACGACGACGACGACGACGACCACGACCACGACCACGACCACGACGATGACGACAACGGCGACGAGGACGACGACGGCGACAACGACGACGACGACGACGACGACGACGACGACGACGACGACGACGACGACGACGACGACGGCGGCGACGACGGCGACGACGACGACAACGACGACGACAACAACGACAACCACGCCACGACCACGACGACCACGACCACGACGACGACGACGACGACGACGACGACGACGACGGCGGCGGCGACGACGAGGAGGCCCTTCGGAAGAGAGCCTCCCTCACTGACTGTGACGCGCGGTCCTTGCCCCCTGGCGGCCCGCAGAGTGCCGCGGACGAAGTCAGACATTTGGGTCACCCCGCATTACCGACCCGCCCAAGAGGTCTGAGACACCAAGAACCAATCAATGTCCCTGTGGAGTCTCGGATGGTCCTTTGCAAATGCCCATGTTGAGCTCACAGTCGGCCACTCGCCTACCCACAACTAAATACGGACCACGCAGAGCGCCCACCACCAAACCAGGACACATCAGGAGTCCGTGCCCTTTGAGCTCGACGATCTCGTCGTCAGCATGCTGCGCGGACTCCCCAGCAAGCCCGAGCTGGCGCGCCGCAGCTCCAACGAAATTACATGGCCGCATGCACCACACT